TCAGGAAGCAACAGTTAGAACTGGACATGGAACAACAGACTGGTTCCAAATAGGAAAAGGAGTACGTCAAGGCTGTTTATTGTCACTGTGCTTATTTAACTTATATGCAGAGTACATCATGAGAAATGCTATGCTGGAAGAAGCATAAGCTGGAATCAAGATTGCTGGGAGAACTATCAATAACCTCAGATATACAGATGACACCACCCTTATGGCAGAAAGTGAAAAGGAACTAAAAAGCCTCTTAATAAAAGTGGAGGAGGAGAGTGGAAAAGTTGGCTTAAAGCTCAACTTTCAGAAAACTAAGATCATGGCATCTTGTCCCATCACTTCATGGAAAATAGATGGGGAAACAGTGCAAATGGTGGCAGACTTTATTTTTTTGAGCTCCAAAATCACTGCAGATGGTGACTGCAGCCACGAAACTAAATGATGCTTACTCCTTGGAAGGAAAGTTATGACACCTAGATAGCATATTTAAAAGCAGAGACATAAAATAAATAAATAAATAAATAAATAAAAGCAGAGACACTACTTTGCCAACAAAGGTCCGTCTAGTCAAGGCTATGGTTTTTCCAGTGGTCATGTTTGAATGTGCGGGTTGGATGGTGAATAAAGGTCAGAGCCGAAGAATTGATGCTTTTGAACTGTGGTGTTGGAGAAGACTCTTGAGAATCCCTTGGACTGTAAGAAGATCCAACCGGTCCATCCTGGGGGAGATCAGTCCTGGGTGTTCTTGGAAGGACTGATGTTGAGACTGAAACTCCAATACTTTGGACACCTCATGCATAGAGTTGACTCACTGGAAAAGACCCTAATTCTGGGAAGGATTGGGGGCAGGAGGAGAAGGGGATGACAGAGGATGAGATGGCTGGATGGTATCACCGACTCGATGGACATGGGTTTGGGTAGACTCCAGGAGTTGGTGATGGACAAGGAGGCCTGGCGTGCTGCGATTCATGGGGTTGCAAAGAGCCGGACACAACTGAGTGACTGAACTGACTGACTGATAAAAGTTACATGTTTTCTTTTTTACCTTCCATATATAGAAACTTGGTACTTTTTCTCCTTTAATTCCAACAGCTGCTTTCTACTAAACCAAGCCAATCAAAAAACCTAGAAAAGTGAAAAACATAATTTACAGTACCTCTTAAAAACTGAAGGTAAAGAAACAAGTTACCTGAGACATTTCAGCGAGGTATGTACAGCGCTCATTGTTGGTCCTGTGGTAAGCTTATGTGAAAGATATAAAAGTTAAGAAACTGATATCAAAGAAGATTTACAATACTAGCAAGATTACTGCCAAGTTATGTCTCTATGCTTTTTAAAAATAGTATACAAAATAGTTTTGTAAGTATACTGTAGAACTATATAGTATGTTTTTAATAACATACCAAAAATCATGGCAGTTCCAAAGGAATTTCTTAGCATAGAATAGAAACAAACCTTTGACTCTTGTTCCAGTCTCAGTGCATAGTCTTTCACTTGATTTTCCAGATTCCTTTTTTCTTTAATTGTTTAAGCAATGCATTTAAGGATTTCTGAAAGTATAAACAATATTTTTACATGCACTCACATTTTAAATATTAGGACCACCAATCTCTTCATTGGCAAATTCCTTCTATTCCATATAATTCTGTTACTTCAAAAGTCTATAATATGTACCTTTTCAGCAATAATAATAATAATAATAATGTTTATTGAGCCCTAACAATAGCCATATACTGTGCTAAGTGATTTCCACAGATTATTTTATTTAATCCTTATTACAGACACCAAGATGACTAATATATTCATTTTACTGTTGAGAAAACTGCATCTGATAGAGCTTAAATAACTTGCCCAAAGGCACAGAGCTAGTAAATGGCAGAGCTGGAATCCAGGTAATCTGACTCCAAAGACAATACACACTAAATGAGTACTATATGTGTGTATTCATGCGATTGCTATCAGGGTANCTCGAGTCAGGGCTCCCGCCGCGCGTCCAACGCAGTGGTACGGGGTCAGAGAGCCACAGATTGGGTTTAGAATGTTAATTCCTAAACTAATAACTGATCTTTCCCAATAACTCCCATTATTTCTCATATTCTGACACATTAAATTAAAAAATCTCCAAGTTGAATTTACACAGCTCTTGCTGGTCATGATCTGGGTCACGGAATCTATTAAAAGAAACATTCAAATAAAAATGGAGGCAACTGATTTAAATCACCACAAAGCAAAACTGCAAGTTATTTTAGAGCTCATACCTACCTCCTGAAATTCAGCTCATTCTCTAAAAACTTAGTGATTTTCTCTTAGATACTTGCTGGTAATTATTAGAAGTGTAAAAAAATTGTATTAATGGGAATAATTAGGTCAGCTCTAACAGGACAAGTTCTAGTGTCTAAAAATAACAGCAATGATAAAACAAATCCTTTGGAAGTGATGATTCTCCACTATGCATATTTGCTTAACATCTCTGTTAAAACATAAAAGTGATTATTCTCCACTATGCATATTTGCTTAACATCTCTGTTAAAACATAATCAGTGATATATCTCAGGCAGGCATTATTTGTCTTCAAAAATTATGCACTGGTGTCCTAAGTAGTTTCCAACCCCCCACCCCCAAATACAGGCTTCCCTGGTGGCTCAGTGGTAAAGCATCTGCCTGGATTGCAGGAGACGCAGGAGACTCGGGTTCAATCCCTGCATTGAGAAGACCCCCTGGAAGAGGAAATGGCAACCCACTCCAGTATTCTTGCCTGGAAAATCCCATGGACAGAGGAGCCTAGTGGACTATAGTCCATGGGGTCGCAAAGAGTCAGACATGACCGAGCATGTACACATACATACATACCTCCAAACACAAACTTGATCCAGAAGAAAATCAATAAAAGCCCTATAAGTAGAAGAGGATAAATGGACTGAGTTCTCTATAGAAAATTAAACCCTTATAAAGTAAACCAATGCTCCAAAATGAGAGTTTTTGAAGGGACAATCAGGGAGTGATGGATGTAGTGAAAAATTTTGTTACATAGACCCTTGCTCCAAGGATTCCAAGCTTAGCCTTCTGTAGTAATATGCTTCACTTACATCATTTGTTAATACATTTTTAGAGATGTAAATAGAATCTAATCATTTTTAATACTGAGTCAATGGAAAAATGCACTCAAAATACAGAAAGAAATTAATTTACAAATAAACAAATGGAACACAAATTATTTTCATATTAATCAGATATAAATGAGATACGGTCCAAAACTCTAGAGGTTCATACAAGAAATGTAGATAGGAAATAGATAAATTCAAGAGCTGAAGCAATTAATAATATCTGAGCAATTAATAAGAGACAAGGTAAGATAACTAGGCAAGGTCCTCGTTAGAGAAGGCTTAGGATGCTAGGTTCAGGAATCAAAACACCGGAGCTATTGAAAGTTATTAAAGAAGCGATATGATGAAAGCAGGGGTTTAAGAATACTAATCAAGTGGTAGTTTCTACAATAAAAGGATGATATCTGTTATTTGTCAGTGTGGGTTTGCAGTTTTAACCTTTGAGGCTTAAATATTTTCCATCTGTTTTCTCTGTGTGAAGACTGTATCTTGGTGCTATTCCCATGATGATCTGATTCCTTGTCTTGTCTCCCAATTTTACAATCCATTCCTTTATGCAAAAAAATATCCATCAAGCACCTCCTGTGTGTCAGGCATTGTGCTGGGGATTCCACGGTGAGACTGATAAACCCAGGTGCTAACCTCATGAAGCTCAGAGTCTAATAGGGTGCCTAGAATGTGCTTTACACTGATGAATGTTACACCCAAGCTTGAGGAGAATCTGTATTCTGCTGTAGTGGGATGGAACATTCTATAAATGTCAACAGATTGAGTTGATGGATAATGCTATTCGGATAAGCTATTGAGTATCTTTATTGATTTTTCTGCCTTTCTGATTTATCAATTACTGACAGGGGGTGTTAAGTCTCCAACTTTCATAATGGATGTGCCTATACGTCCTCCAGTAATGCATCACAATTACCATTTAAGTGTTCCTATCAGTTTGTATTCCAGGCTAAGCAGATCTCAGTGCCTGTCTGGATTTGTCTGTTTATACAGATTTCAGGGTGGGACTTTGCTCTGCAAATTCAGTTTTTTAATGAGTAGAATCACTGATTTTCGGGTTACCCATCTTTGCTGTTGTTGTGGTGACAAGATCGATGACTTCCAAGCACTATACATAACTGGAACTGAAACTAGAAGCCACAAATTGGTCTTGACTCTCTTTTCTAGTCAGAATGGAAAGAGTACACTCTCCAAAGCAGTGGCTGCACACCCTACACTGAAGACCTGCTAGTCTGCTCTAGCAGTGATACCACACCTGGCAAAACAGTTGGGGCTACTAACTGGTTAAGTCTGCAGTAACCTACAGTCTTTCTCTAAGATACACCCAGGGTTTGCAGAGGTCAGGCTGGCAAATTAAACAGAGCTATGTTAAGCCCTCTGCTGTCTTCCCTGGGATAAGAAATTATTTTTGTTCGGCAATTTTGGCCTGGGTGGGGGAAGGCACCATTTCCCACATTTCTATTTGGTTTTCTGCACCATGATAGCTTTTACTTCAGAGATGAGGGCCTGATGGAAGGTTAACTTCAACTGCCAAGTATATGTACTTCATTAGATATTCAGGGACTGAGAAAATCATCACTGTGGGGTTAGGCGAGTCTGTGGGCACATGGTCACTGTGATTTCTACTTCAGGCTTAGACCCCCATCCTGGTTATATCCTTTCCCGCAGTATACAACCACTTGGGGACATGGTCAGAGGTCTCTTGAGGGTCAGACTGGAGATATTGTCATGATACATACTTGGACTGCTACTGCAGGGTCCTTCCTTCTAGTAACCCAGCCGCTTCTTTGGTCAGTGATTTCTGGGAAATAAGCAGAGTCATGCTTTTCACTAGGCTAACTGTCCTCAGCCTCCACTCCTCTGTTCTTAATTTTTTAGTTTTAAAACTTATAGATGTTCAACAACACCCTCACTGATTGTCTTGGCAGCCAGGAGAAGAGGTAGGGGCAGCTCCAGAGGGGGCAGATGGTCACCCTATCGGCGAGAGACCTGTGCAGCAGCTTCCAGGACTGTTGAGTGCTCCAGCCCTTCCTAGAGCTAGAGGTGGGCCGCCTCTGCTCACCCAGAGGGGCCGGGTGGAGGGGTAGAGTCATGACGGGCAGTCATCCAGATGTCCTGCCACAGGTTTAGGATCCCTGGTTCTTCCCATCAGGGCCCTGCCCTTCCCCGAAGGCCTGCTTGGAGAGCCCTGCTGTTCTGTTGTGGCCACCCTTTCACTAGTGTATACAGCCTCTTTTAGACACTACCACACCAAGGCTCTCTGCTTTTCATTGTTAGGTATTAAGGGCTTACTAACTATTCTCAGCCTCTCACTATCCTTATAAAGGATGAAAATAAAACTTAGTAATAATCCTGTATTTTCCAAATGTGTGCAGGCTTCTTTCACAGTATTTTCCTCCACAAGAGCATTTTCCAAGGTTGCCATTGGCGAAGTCCTTAGCAACTGAATGGCCACACTGAGCCGGGATCCCTTGGTGCCAATCTACTGATCAGGACAGCTCCTGCTGGCTGTCACACAGTAAGTGAGCCAGGCCCAAATCTCATGTTACCCCTGTTTTCTCATAGCCCTCCCCAGTACCACACCAACTGTAGATGTGGTCTTCTGAGAAGCAGATACCAAGATGGGATTAGATGTGAAAATAATCCATTATTAGAAACACCTGTGTGAAAGGAACTAGGAAAGGAGTGGGAGAGGGCTGGGAAAGGAGTCAACTGTAATGCAAGTGTGACCCCCCCGTGAACGAGAGAAAGAGATGTCAGGAGAAAGAGGAAGCAGCCCAGGCTGGCAGCCACCTAAGGAAAGTCTGGCAAAATTACTGACAAGAGGGTAACTATGTTTCCCAGGAATACGTCTGCCTTGGTATCCCCCCTGCATCTGATCATGTGGTAGGAACGGTGGGAGGTGTGGTCTCAATGAAAAGCAGTGATGGGCTTCAAAACCCAAGACCAGGGGCCCTCAGGCAACGACCCTCCCTGTGCTGGGAAGTCCGTGAGACTCGTTCTCTGCGAGGACACAGTGACTGCTTTTCTTAACGACCCTCCCTGTGCTGCGGAGTCTGTGAGACTCATTCTCTCTCCCTTTTCTTGAGGGCATCTCAGTTTCTCAACTGAAGAACCCCCCGATTTCCTGTGCTGTGAGCAGTAATCCTGGTTGCTGGTTTTCTGGAGTAGAGCAAGGGGAAGAAAGCTGAAAGAATGAGGACAAATACTGGATTTTGTGAAAACTACATCAGTCATGGACCATTAAATGCAAGACATTTGTAATTCCATTTATAAAATTGTTATACACATTGAAAATCCTTTAAAAATTATAAAGTCATACTACAATAACATTAAGGTTCATTCTAGATTTTGATTCTTTATTTTACTGACTTCAAAATAAACTAGTATTTAAAAACAATTTTATCAAAGGCACACAGTCTCTTATCCCATCACATCCAAATCACTGGAAGACTCACAAGTTCTTGGTCTTCCCAAAGAGCTGGTTTTATCTGATCATATAATCAGTGGTCACGTGCTAGAAAACTGCAGCTTGGAAATATATACTAAAGCTACAGCTAAATTGAAGACTCCACTAGAAACTATTCCCCTTCCTCC